ACTGCTGGCTCTGTCCCTGGAGACGCTGGCTTGAACCCCGAGTCTTGGCCTTATCCCAGGACCCAGGCTGCTGCCCTCTGGGGGAAAGGGAGACCGGGGGTGAGGGCTGGTTGTGGCCAGAGTCACCTGCCGACCACTCACCATGGGTCTTAGCAGGCTTTAATGATACATATTTTCCCTGATTTAAAAAGACACACTCCATGTAGAAATTTGATCGAAAAGAGGAAAGTAAAAAAAAAAAAAATCCACATCCATCCAGAGAGAGAAAGAGAAAGATTTCCTGACACACAGAGGAATGAAATTGTTTCTCACACCAGGAGGCAGTGGCTCACGCCTGTAATCCTGGCTACTCAGGAGGCAGAGATCAGGAGGATCGCAGTTTGAAGCCAGCCCCAGGCAAATAGTTCATGAGATTTAGCTCAAAAAAAACAGATCACGAAAAAGGGCTGGTGGAGAGGCTCGAGGTGTAGGCGCTGAGTTCAAACCAGTACCACAAAAAAAAGAAAAGAAGCTGCTTTTCACAAAACAGACTAGAGGTTTAGCTCAAGGGGTAGAGCAGCTACTTTGCAAGTGTGAAGCCCTGAGTTCAAATCCCACTTTCACACACACACAAAAAAGTTTTCTCATCTAATAATTCCCAAGAGACAAAACCCAGGCTATCTTCTCAACCCAAAATGGAGCCTGAGAGATAACTGGCACCAATATTTATTGAAAGAATCTCTAAGTCTAAAAAACAGCAATGTTTTTTCCCCTAGATGAGCCAAGGAAATCCAGCAACTTTTCATTTTCTGATAATCAAAATGGCTAATATAGAAAGTCTTCCGGGCAAAAAATATTTCTTGTGCTTGTCTATTTTCCTTGTGTCATTCCCCCTCCTCCCACTTAAGGTTCACAACTGCCAAAAACAACCATTTAAGAAGCAAGGGTTATTTGTTTTCCCTAATTAGTTTTCATCACATTTTGCTGTCCAAAAATTTATACGAGTTGAGTCTTATTATTCAAGTTCAATGATCTTTCAAAGTTGGCTGGGGCGTAGCTCAGTGGTAGAACACTTTTCTAGCATGCATAAGGCCATGGATTTGGTCCTCACCACTGCACAAAGAAAAGTTCATCTGTTAGACTCGTGATTTTAGGCCTCTAGCAATTCCTTAGAAGCAAGGTTTATTTTATTTATTTATTTATTTTTTTTTTAGAAGCAAGGTTTAAATTATTGAATATTTCACCTTTATGCTTAGTCCCCTAAATGAGAAATGCCTTAAAATTTACACACATATATTGTGTGCATGAGTGTAACCTCAGCTCTTAGGGGCTGAAGCAGGAAGACCAGGAGTTCGAGGCCATTGTGGGCTACATAGTGAGACCCTGTCTCAAAAAGCAAAATAACAAAAACAAAACAAAAAAATTACATATACAATTAAAAATTGAGGACTGAAGGTGTGGCTCAAGGGGTAGAGCACCTGCCTTGCAAGTGCAAAGCCCTGAGTTCAAACTCCAGTATTGTTAAAAAAGATTGAAAGGCCAGGCACGGTGGCTGACCCGTGTAATCCCAGGTACACAGGAGGCATAGGTAGGAGGATCCAGGTCTTAGATTGGCTCTAGGCACAAGTGCAGGACCCTATGTGAAAAATAACCAAAGCACAAACGGACTGGAAGCGAGGCTCAAGTGCTAGAGTACCTAGCAAGCTGAGGCTCTGGGTTCACATGGAGAAAAAAACATAAAAACTGGAAAATAATTACATGACCTTTGTGGGTTAGGTGTTTCCCATGCAAACATCGCCCATGTCTCCTGCTCCCCAGGACCATCCTGGGTCCCTTCAAGTTGTCATCAACCCTCTGGTCTCAAGGACGGGGATGTGGCTAAGTGACTGAGGTCCCGGGTTTCACCCCAGCGACACTGGCAAAACTAAGCAACCAAACCCGCCTTCTCCTTTAAGAAACAAACATTCGAGACAATCCCCCAAACTGGAAGGACAAAAATGACTCCTCCCGGGTTTCTTTGTCCAAGTCTGGGGCTCACTGAACGGATCCAGACAAACAGAAGGTCCTTTTCACTTGGGAAAAACAAGCAAGTGTCCGTTTTTCAAGTCCCACTGACTCCCGGCCCCAGCCTCACCTTCCTCTGCATTTGTTCTCTCTTCCAGCCTGTCCCTCCCTGTGCCTGGTGGCTTCCTGCACTCTGCGGCCTATGTGGGTCCCACCTGGCATGTGACCATGGCGTCCAGGCTCCCTCTTATTCTAATTAGGTTGGTCATTCCTTGTGTATGAAACTTCTTGCAGCCCACTCCCAGGGACACACAGTCTCCCTTTTCTTCCTTTCTCTGGAGCTTTTCATGAAAGTGCCTGCTTCCGTCCTTTCTTGTGTCCTCTGACACCAATGTGACTTAGTGACCACATCTGAATTGATGATGGCCTTCCCATAGATGAGCCGGGCACTATGGCTTCTCATACATCATTCCAGTCTTTGCAATTCTGAAAGGCTGTGTGACTTGGACAAGTCACCTGCTTCCCTGAGCCTCAGTTTCTCATTTAAAATGTAAACAATGATGCCAGCCAGGATCTACACCCTCCCTAGATGGGTGTCTCATTTCTCTGTGGCAGTAAACATTCCTGTTAAGGAACCAGTGTGACAGGTGCTGTTTTATTTATTTTATTATTCTCTTGTGTAAGGGACAGGGTGGGGACTCAGTGGCGGGGGCTTTCCTAGCACGTGGAAGGCCCTGGGTCCCATTCCCACCAACTGTAAAAAAAACACCCCTCACAAAAAAGCCAATCTTTTTATATTGTCTTATGTCTCACTCATTTGTTTATCCTTTGTGTGTGTGTGTGAGTGTGTGTGTGTCTGTGTGTGGCATCGGGGGTTGAACCTATGACCTCAAATGTTAGGCAAGTGCCCTACCACTGAGCTAAACCTTAGCCACTTTGTCCATTTTTTAATTTATTGGTACTGGGTTTGAATTCAGGGTCTTGCACTTGAGCCACTCCACCAGCCCTTTTGTGTGAAGGTTTTTTTTTTGAGATAGGGTCTCATGAACTATTTGCCTGGGCTGGTTTCAAACCATGATCCTCCTGATCGCTGCTTCCTGACTAGCTGGGATTACAGGCATGAGCCACCAGTGCCCGGCTGCAATTTTATTATTTTTAATTTTAACTAATCAATTAATTAATTTTGTGGCACTGGGGATGGAACTCAAGGCCACTTAAGCCCCACTCCAGTCCTGTCCATTTTTAAATCGGGTTACTTTTTTAATTAGTGTATATTGTGCACAGGGTTCCATCGTATCGTTCAATGCTGGGCTCTTTGTCTTAATTACTGTTTGTGTTACTTACCTCCAAGCATCCAGCTTTCTGAAGACACAATGGACAGACAAGACAGTGTCTGTAAACGTGCACTGTTTGTAAAGCCTGAGATCACCACCGAGGGACTGCTGTACATACTGGCATTTCTGTAACTGTTAATCCATTTTTTTGTTGTTGTTCCATAGATTGCTAGAAAATTTACTAAATTTTAATCTACGTTCTTGCTTTAGGATGAAGAATCTGCTGGTCACACCCGAGCCATGCCTCGGTGACTCAGGTAAGGCTTTTGGAGCACAGGGACCAGGTGAGGATGGAGAAGTGTGTGAGAGCGGGTGACGTGTGCCTTGAGCCAGGACGCCACCCCAGGGCTTGCTCCTTACTTGGTCCACACATAGTTAATGCTGTCACCATATGGTGAGTTCAGATTTCAGCCAAGCTTGGAAATCAATGGCAGATGCAATTGCACGTATAAATAATTTATAGCCTATTCCTTATGAGATGCAACTTCATTTACAGACTACTTTAATTCTTAGACCTCACGGGAATTTATAACTCAATGCTTCAATATTATGTCAGGAGCAGTGACTCACACCTGTAATCCCAGCTTCTCGAGAGGCAGAGAGCAGGAGGATTGAGGTTTGAGCCAACCTGGGCAAATAGTTCACGAGACCCCTATCTCCAAAATAACCAGAGCAAAATGGACTAGCGGCATGGCTGAAATGTTAGAATGCCTGCTTTGCAAGTTCAAAGCCCTGAGTTCAAACTCCAGTCCCACAAAAAATAAAAAGTGTTTCAACATTATGATAGTGAATTATTTCAAAAAAATGAAAAAGAAACTATCAGTGAAACTGAAAATTATTTTGTAATCTGAAATATTGCCAAAGTGTTACCATCAGCTACTTTTTAGGAGTTGCACATCAGGAACCCTTATTTCCAACTTCAAAATCCCTTTATCAGTACAGAGGCAGAAGAAATACTGAAAGCTGAAGTGGAGAAAGAATATACACCAGAAAAACGAAATGATTATTTACTAAGAGCTGCAAATGCTCATTTTCTGAGAACATTGATTTTGCGTAATCCACAGATGAGACACTTACACTTTTAATTTACCAAAATGAATCCAAGTGTCCCTTTTCCCAGCTCTTAGTGCAAACTGAAACTTTACTGACTTTTGTTGCAGGATTGGGGTTTGGACTCAGGGCTTCACACTTGCTAGGCAGGCGCTCTACCACTTGAGCCACTCCACAAGCCCTTTTTGCATTGGCTATTTTCCAGAAAGGGTCTCATAAACTATTTCCCTGGGGCTGGTTTAGAACTGTGATCCTCCTGATTTCTGCCTCCTGAGTAGCTAGGATTACAGGCATGAGCCACCAGTGGCCAGCCTTTACTGGTTTTATGTGGGAGAAAAAAAGGCCTGGTGTGGTGGTACACACCTGTAATCCCAGCATTCGGGTGGCTGAGGCAGGAGGATTACAAGTTCCAGACCAAACTGGGCTACATGGTATGACCTTGTCTCAAACAAAACAAAAGAACAACAAAAACCAAACAACAGAGGCAGAGGAGCAGGAGGAGGAGGAGGAAGAGAAGAAAGTACACCTTCATCATGATTTTGCTGTCCTTTGAACTGTCCCCCCCATGGATCGGCCTCACCGAAGAGCTTTCCTTGTGTTGGGGACAGTGGGCTGCCCGCCTGGTAGAACAACCTACAATAACAACCACAGGCCCGACCTGGATGAACAACCTGCCGGCCTGTTGGGGTCACTCAGTTCCTCGAAGAGCCCCGTTTCTATGATTTCCTCCTGCCACGCGATGGGGACAGCCCCGTCGCAAATCTTTGGAAGAACCTCTTGTCATTGTCATCGAATTCCACGCCCCGAACCTCAGAGAAATCTTCGATTTCATTGATGTCCTTGGTGTAGACCACCGAAGGGTCCGGCACAAATGGGGGGTTCCACCAAGCCGGCTTCCAGGTGGGGAAAGTTGATGCTTTTGAAGAAAGGGTGTTTCCTGGGGTTGTCAGACTTTTCTCTGTGAAGAAAGGAGGTGATTAACCAGCCAAGCCAGGAAATGTTCAAGCAACACGAAGAGTGTGGTGCCTTTCTGATGATAGCATTTCATTTCCACTACAAAGACATAAAAAATAGCTCTGAAACGGGTGTGGTGGTGCACACCTGTAATCCCAGCACTCAGAGGCCAGCCTGGGCTACAGAGCAAGATCCTGTCTCAAAACCAAAATGAATAGTAAGTTTTAAAATCACCCCAAATTCCACTCGACACAGATGACGGTTTTACTGTTTGCAGCCCCACACAGATGGTGTCAGGGTCTGCTGTCAACCCTGGTGCCCTGGGAGCCTGGTCACAGCCACCTCTGAGAGCCTTGGTGGCTGAATACAGGTGGCACTTCCCTAGGTCCCTGGTATGAGTGGGGCGCCCCGAGCTCTGTTCTTAAAGCCAAGTCCTCCAAGGGAGTTAAAACCTCCACACCCTGAGGCCTGCCATGTGGGGTCCAGCGGCTCCTGAGAGGCCTTCAAGGTGTCTTTCCTGTTGTCCTTATGCAGGCACTTGGCTTTTTCTCTTTTTTTTTGGTGGGACTGGAGTTTGAATTCAGGGCTTCACACTTGCAAAGAGGACAAATTACCACTTGAGCCACACGTCCAACCCATTTTGCTATGGTTATTTTGGTGATCAGGTCTTGTGAACTATTTGCCTGGGCTGGCCTCCAACTTTGATCCTCCCAATCTCAGCCTCCCAAACAGCTAGGATTACAGGTATGAGCCACTGTGCCTGGCTCTTGGCTTCTTTTTAATGGCCCTAATCTCTTCAGCAGTTACTTTTTCCTTGGCTCCAACTTTACTTGTGCTTTTTTTCTGGGCAAGATTTTCAACCTTTCTGCTCTGCTTTTTGCTCACAGTTTTCACTGGATACTTGACTCAAACCAGCCAATAGTAACAGTGACTGCACTGAATTCCTTCTGCCGCTTAGCTAGTCCACCACCTGTAAAATTCAACCTCCCACAAAGTCTTAAGGCACAGACAAAATGCAGACAAACTCCACGCCCAATGACCTCTGGTCCATTCCCAGACAGTCCTTGTTGCCATCTGAAAGTCCCCTTGTGAGTGTGTTTTTACTGTGGCATTCTGCTGACATTTTGGTCTTCTGGCACCCACCATAGTGACCTGTTAAGCTCTGCTGAAAGCATGCTTGGGCTCCTCCAACCTGCAACACTAACTTTTCCAAATTTCCCTCCTTCTTATTTTGAGATAGTGTTTTGCTATGTAGCCCAGGCTGGCCAAAAAGTGGTGGTCCACCTGCCTTAATGTCCTGTGTGCTGGGATTACAGAAGTATGCCACTATGCCCAGGCCTTTTTCTTAATTGTGGTACTGGGGTTTGAACTCAGGTCTCATGCTTGCTAGGCAGGCACTTGAGCCACACCTTCGTCTCTTTTTGCTTTGGTTCTTTTAGAGACAGGGTCTCACTTTATGCCTGGGTCGGTCTGGACTGTGATCCTCCTAGTTATGCTTCTTGCATAGTTGGGATTACAGGTGTGCACCACCACGCTCAGCTGCTGAGGTTTTTCTTTGATGTTTTCACTGCACTTCCTTTTGTAGTAACAGGATGCGTTGCTAATTATTGTGTATTAATCACACTGTGTTGTATGATACAGTATATTAGATAACGATACATTAGTATATAAATCTTCACATCAAGTGCTTTAGTGTCTGAAAGCATGTGATCTGCAAATGACATTAGGGAAACTGCCCCAGTCCCGTGTCCTGGCTGCGGTGGTGGCACTCACCTGCTTCCCAAGCGCTGCTCTGGTTTCTCGGCCAAGAGGAGCCTGCAGATGTCCTTCGTGTCATTGGTGAAGTCGCCGTGTTGGAAGGAGACCTCCTCTTTCAGGGTCCTCTGCCTCAGGTCCTCCTTACTGACCTGCTCCTTGTAATCTCGGAATGGTGTGCGGCCTGCCACCATCTCGTAAATGCTGCAGCCCATGGCAAACCAGTCCACGGGGTAGGAGTAACTCACCTTTTCCATTAAGATTTCAGGAGCCATGTAACCGCTGGTGCCAGCCTGTCACCCCCAAACGAATGACAAAACAAAACAGAACACTGGCGTGAGCGAGGCTGACCCTGCTAGCCGTCCTCTGCCATCTGAGCTGTGGATACCCTACTTTGTCTGGGCAGTGGCTCTGACCTGTGTCCCCTGCTTCCCAGGGACCTCATCCCTTGGTGAAACCAAAGGGAGGCCATGTGGCCACGGGGGCATAACAAGTTGCTGGCTGGGGACAGGTGTGGCTGCTGCTGAGGTGAGGAAACCACTTAGCATCTCTTGTCATCACCTCATCTTGGTGCAGTGCTGGGGATTAAACCCAGGGTGTGAGCACATGTAGGCAAGGGCTCCACCACTCAGCTGCATCCCTGAGGACCCCTGTCCTCTCAGCTCTAAGATGAAAAGTTCAAGAGGCTGTCTCTAAGATTCCCTCTGCCTCTTTTCTTTGTTTAGTTTTTTTTTTTTGGCAGTACTGGGATTTGTACTCAAGGCCTGGAGCTTGCTAGGCAGGTGCTCTACCACTTGAGCCACTCCACCAGTCCTTTGTGCCTTAGCTGTTTTTCTGATAGGGTCTTGAGTTTTTGCCCAGGCTGATCTGGACCATGATCCCCTACCTATGTCTCCTGCAAAGATGAGAGCAAATTATTCCTGACCTCCAACCAAGCTGTTTAACTTGGTTACTTGTTATTTGGGGTACATGGAGTGTGTACCCCAAATAAATAACTCAGAGAAAGAAAGGAATGGACACGGCTCCATTATCACAAAGGTACAAGCTGGAAACAACCGAAGGCCCATCAATAAAGCCAATACACCAGTCTATTAAAATTGTGTAAGCACAACAAAATGACAGAGCAAAAAGAAGCCAGGTGTGGTGGCTCCAGCTACCTGGGGGTAGGGAGGCTGAGACAGGAGGCTGTTGAGTTTGAGGCCGGCCTGGGCTACATAGGGAGACCCCATTCAAAAAAACAATCCCAGAAAACAGAAAAAGGAAAATAGAAAGAAATGTCTAGATGTTGTGTTCATAATGCACTGATCACAACTAAGCATATATGCATTTCTGGACATTAAAAAAGATTGAAAAGTATTTTAGTTTAGTTTTGTTTTGTTTTTTGGGGTACTGGGGCTTGAACTCAGGGCCTACACTTTAAGTCAATCCCCCAATCTTTTTATTCTGTGATGGGTTTTTCAAGATAGGATCTTGCATAATATTTGCCTAGATTGGCTTTGAATTTTGATCTTCCTGATCTCTGCCTCCTGAGTAGCTAGGATTACAGGCTTGAAAAGTGTGCTCACCGTCATTAAGTGATTTTCTTTCTTTTTGTCAAGTTGCTTTAGCAGACGTGCTGTGTGTGCACAGTGTGTGCAGTGCTGTAGGAATATGGCACTTCCTGGATAATTTCTACGTGGACAACAACAACAACAAAGCAGAAATGATCCAAGCACTAGTGCGGAGTCACTGGCCTGAGCAGGAAAACTCTGGAATCAGAGTGGCTCGAGGGGTAAAGAACCTGCTTAGCAGGTGGGAGGCCCTGAGTTCAACCTCCAGAAACAAACAAACAATCAAATTAAAAAAAAGGAAAAGAAAAGAGAGACAGTTCTGGAGGTGACTGGGTCTAGCAGGCCAAGTGTGGGTGGATGTGACCCTGTCATTTTCAGTGAAGCTGGTGTATAATTTGGTGACTTGTTCTGCTTTACCTGGGACAGTCCCTGTTTACATCTGCTGTCCTGGTGTCTTGTTGGGTTTTGCGTATGTCCAGACAAAAGTGTCCTGTGGGCATCTCTGAGGCCCAGGACAGTGTCCATATCCAAACCCACAGGGCTTGGGTTGGTGCATCTCCAGCACGACATTTGTCATACAAGAAGGCAGTGACTGGGGACAGTGACAGGATCTTTCCCAGTCACTGTCCAGCAAACACCTGTGTAGCTAGAGTCTGTAATGAGCTCCAGGAATCATAGGCCTGCAGAGCTTAGAGACTGTGGACACAGCCAGGGGAAAGTTGATTGACCAAAGTAGAGTAAATGGTAGAACGCAGAGAGAGACAAAGAGATAGAGAGAGAGTCTGTGTGTGTTGGGGACACTTCACTGGATAGCCACCATAGAAACTAGTCAAGGGAGAAGTATCCGGTCAGGCACCGGTAGCTCACGCCTGTAATCCTTGCTACTCAGGAGACAGAAATCAGGAGGATCGAAGTTTGAGGTCGGCCCAGGCAAATAGTTCACAGACCCTAGCTCAAAAGTACTCAACATAAAACAGGGCTGGCAGAGTGGCTCAAATGATAGAGTGACTGCCTAGCAAATGTAGATCCCTGAGTTCAAACCCCAGTACCACCAAAAAAAAAAAAAAAAAAGGAAAAGGAATCCGTCTGTCATCCCTGAAAGGCTGCCCAGGGATGGAGCATTTGCAAGAGATGGAGTCAGGACAAATGTGGGTGTTTGGGAACTTGAAGGAAGTCGTATTTCTGAAATGTAGGGTCTGTGAGTGCCACAAGGGGTGTGGGGAGGGAGTGATGGGGGTGATAAATTCCTGTGCTAAGGTAGCAAAGTCGTTCCCAGTCTTCCCCTTCCTGTCCCCATCCACTGTACAGCAAAACAAACAACTAAAAATGTCAACGATAAACTCTGCAGTATCTCACAGGGCCTGCTATGGAGTTCTTTCAAGTTTGCTGAATGTGTGTTAAGTTTTTTATAAAAGGACATAGAGGGAAAAAAAAGGAGTGTGGGGGGGTTATGATGCCAGGATGGCTGGCATGAGGGACCCTTCTGGAAGGGATCCAAGGAGGACCCACAAGAGAACATGGTGGGGGATTCCAGCCATCCAGTCCCCCCATGTCCCATGTCCACTGTCAAGGGTTTACCCAAAGAGCACCCCTATCTTTCCAGAGAAACCACTCAATTGTTAGTCCAGGGTCGTCACCCCACAGTGTGGCCCAGCAGTGCTGCCACAGGGAGCGGTCCAGGGAGAGGCGGTCACAGGGCTGGAGGGGAGGGGCAACTTGATCCTGTCATTTCCTTCCTCTCTCTCTCTCTCCCTCACCCTCTCTCTCTCTCTGCTTCCTGGCCTCCATGAGGTGAGCAGCCTCCTCTACTCCATGCTTCCTCCACCATGATACTCACCTCACCTCAGGCCCAAAGTACTGGAGCCAGTCGTCCAGGGACTGAAACCTCTGAAACCATGAGCCACAATAAATCCTTTCTCCTTTTAAATTCTGTCTCTCAGGTATTTGTGAAGCCACCAAAGCTAACTAACAGAGCAGACAAATACCAGTGGCAGAGGAGAAGGTATAGGGGCAAAGTGGACAAGAGACCTCTTGTTATGAGCAAAAGCTGGAGAGGCATGCCAGGACAAATGGAAATGATGACCGACGGCATGGCTGAGTGATAAGTACATGCTCGGTGCTCTCTTACGTGCATTCCCTATTTCATCTTCATAATAGTCCTGCGAGCAGGGCACTGTGACTCACGCCTGTAATCCTAGCTACTCAGGAGGCTGTGATCAGGAGGATCAAGGTTTGAAGCCAGTCCAGACAAATAGTTCGTGAGACCCTATCTCAAAAAACCCATCACAAAAAAAGGGCTGATGGAGGGGCTCAAGTGATGGAGCACTTGCCTAGCAAGTGTGAGGCCCTGAAGTTCAAAACCCAGTGCTGCCAAAAAAAAAAAAAAAAAAAAAAATCTGTGAGATAAGTACTTTATTCCCAATTCTGCAGATTAGGAAACTGAACTAAGAAAAATTAACTCTTTCCCAAGGATACCGACCTATGTGTACAGGTCTATACTATTTTTTTTGGTGGGACTGGGGTTTGAACTCAGGGCTTTGTGCTTGCCAAGCAGGTTCTCTACCACTTCAGCCACACTTCTGACCATTTTGCTGGAATTATTTTGGAGATGGGGGTCTCACAAAATATTTGCTGGGGCTAGCCTTGACATGTGATCCTCCTGCTCTCGGCCTCCCAAGTAGCTAGGATTACAGGCATGAGCCACTGACACCTGCCTTTTTTTTTTTAAATATGTAGTTATGGGGATCGAATCCAGAGCCAGTTCCAGCAGGCCTGCCGGGATTTACTTTCTCCATCTCAGGTCCCCTCGTTCCCTTTCCTCATCTGCTAGAGACTGAGTGCTTGGTTTGGTCCATTCTTGCCCTGTCCCCTCAGTGAATTCTCTCTGCTTTGCCAGGGTCCCTGCTCCTCAGGCTGGCTGGGCCGAGGAGACCATCCCCAGAGCCAAGTTCTAGGACAGCCCTTCTCTCTCCCCAGGGAACTATCCAAAGAGGTGGCCTGCCATCTGTGCAGCACTGTGTCCCTTGGTGTCGTGGGCAGAGCGTGAGACAGCAGGCCAGCCTTACAGATTCCAGAAGATTTCCACAACCCAATTCACCTCTTGGTCCTAAAGCCAGAAAATGTCAGCGCCACCTCCTCCAAGAGCGGAGGTATGGCACTGAGGAGAATGGATTAGAGGCGCATTCCACCTCGGCCTCCAGCTGGAAAAATTAACTGCCCTGCCCTTTGGGCTGATTGTCCTCTGCCCGTGAACTGCCTCCCCCGAGGTGGGAGGGAGCGCCAGGCAGCATGGGGCAGGGGCTGGCCCTGGGCAGCTCCTTAACTCCTGCGCGTGCGAAGGGATGTCTGTGACATCCCAACCTCCGTGTGACCAGAAGCCTGCCTCTGGCTGTAAGGATCACCGGAGAGTCACCAGCGATGGATCTTTCAGAGGGGGGTTGGTCACGGGCTTTATGCTTTTTGGTTTCATTCTGTTTTGCCGTTGGTTTTCAGGTGAGACCTTTGGCACACACACTGCCATTGTACCACATTCAGCATGGCACCTCCCAGGATAGAGGGCCTGGGGAGGGCTGTGCCCCTCCACCAACATCCCCCTCATTCAGTAACCTGGAGCAGATTGCTTAGTCCCATTGGTGCCACCTGTCACCTACAGGTATCCACACTGAGGAAGGACTGTCCTGGGGATGCCTGTCCAGGCAGCCCCTCCATTGCTCTTCCCCTGACCCTGTAGCTGCTGCCACTCT